ACCAGTGGACATGTCAAGGCATCTATAGCCTCGGTATTGGGCTGGGTAACCGAGGAAAAGACAAGGTGTAGACCTAGGTGCGAGTTTGTGTTGTCGGGTGGCGGTTAAGTTGGGAAAACAAGCACAACCAAAGGTGTGGAGGTGGTCGTAAGTTGGATGTTTTAGGTAGAGGGCAGATGTAGGGGTTCGGTTTTCAAGTAATGAAGTGGGAAGGATGTTGTGTAAGTAGGTAGCGGTATGAAGGGCCTCAACCCAAAAGGAAGGTGGTAAAGAAGCATGGGTTAGTAGGGTCATCATGATTTCGTTTATGCGACGAATCATTCGTTCTGCCGTGCCATTTTGTTAGGAGGTATGTGGGCATGAGAAGCGAATGTGAAGACCGGTGGTAGACGCAAAATTATGGAATTTTTGGTTATCGAATTCACCGCCCTTGTCACATTGGAAATTTTTGAGGGAAGTATTGAATTGGGTGTGGATATATTTGTGGAACGTCTTGATTTTATCAAAAGTTTCTGATTTGTATTTTAAGGGAAACACCCATGTAAAATGGCTGAAATCGTCAATGATGATGAGGTAGTATTTATAATTAGTTTTGCTAAGGATGGGTGAGGTCCAAAGGTCGGCATGAACAAGATCGAATGGTTTGAGGGTGAGTGATGTGGAATTTTTGAATGGTAGGCGTTTGTGTTTAGCAAGTTGGCAAGAATGACAAACAGACAAACAATCATTTTTATTGCAAGAAATATTTTTATTTTGACTAAGAAAGTTTATTACATGATGCCCCGGATGACCGAGTCTAAAATGCCAAAGAGGCGAACTAGAAGAAACATAAAAGGATGAAGCTGGAGCGTTGGCTTGCTTGGTGAAGGGGTAGAGATCGCCAGAGCTATCGTGTCTAGAGAGGTGCCTCTTGGTCTTGTAGTTCTTTATAGAAAAACCAAATGGGTCAAATTCAACGGAAAAGAAATTATCACGACAAAATTTACGAACAGATACAAGATCTTTGACGGTGTGAGGTGTGTGGAGTATATCTTTTAGATGAATAGGTTTGGATGATGGGGTAAGGTGGTATGACCTGATCCAAGAACTGGTACTTGATTGCCATTTGCAACAAACACGGATTTAATAGATGACAAACTAGGGATCGAGATTTTACCTGCGTTGGCTGTGAGGTGAGATGTAGATCCAGTGTCCATATACCAATCATCATTTTCTTGGTCCAGAGTCATAGCTGAAAAGGCAGCCCCAAGTTCAGAAGGTTCAAGTGGGTTTACCTCTGTGAGGTTGGCTTGAGCTTGTGTTTGTCTTGGTTGTTGCTGGGCAAAAGAGGTAGGCCAGGGAGAGGCCCATCCAGCTTGAGTGGGATATGGACACGGCGGTGGAGAAGCCCAGTAGGGTTGGGTCCAGTATGATGGTGGGTAGCCAGCCCATGTAGGGCGTGTTTGATTGGACACAAAACCGTCGCTTATTCAATTGGGTTTGTGGTTGCCGCCCAGAAGATGGATAATTAGGTCGAGAAGGAGATGCAGATGCTGGGCGCGACGATTGGTGTTGCGCTGCTGGTGAGGGCGGCCTTTGTTTCCAGATTCGCTTCGTCGGAAATTTGAGTTTGCTGATGGGTCGTGTTCAACAGTAGCAACGATTTCTGTGGATGAGTGTGAATCTCGAGCACGCTGTCGCTGAATTTCAAGTTGAAGCATGGAGCATGCGGTATCCCATGGAGGTAGGGTTTGATTGATGTAGGCGCCGGCTGTAGCAAATTCTGATGGCAGCCCACGGACAAGTTGAAGGACCAGACGTTTCTCGTTTACAGGGCAATCGACATCATTCAGTTTGCTTGCCAGGTCTTTGAGACGTTGGAAATAAGCTTCAAGGGACGGCATTGCTCGAAGGGTAAGGTTTGTGAATTCGTGTTGTTAAGGAAGATGTTCTGAATTTTGAACCAGGCTTCATATGCGGTAGAGTCCGGTTCAAGCACACGGGCAAGGAGATCATCTGATATCGTTCCATATATCCATTGGAGGACAATGGCGTCAATTTCGGACCAGATTTCGTAGGTCGGGTCAGTCTTGGATGGAGGGTCGGAACCATCGATGTGGGCAAGAACTTTATAGCCTTTAGCATGAAGTTTGAACAATCGAACCCATGAAGAGTAAGATACCTTTGTACCGTCAAGGGTACGAATCTTGTTCTGTATGTTCGTGACTGTGTAGACGGGATGGAGAGCTTTGACAGGTGTTGGGTCTTGTTTGTCTGACATCGTTAATGGAGAAGATGATCAGAGAAAAGAGAAATATTGCAAAAGAGGTGAAGATGTCCAGCCGTAGCTGAGATGACAGGGAGAAATTTTGAGGTGAGGAGCACTTGGCTCTGATACCATATAATTCACAAAGGAATCGTGCCTTTCATTGATCAATAATGGGATTAAATACCCACTGTACAGAGAAATTACAAGAGGGAATTAGGGAAGATCTAGGCTAAATAAGTAAGGAATAATTTACATTAATTACACAATTAATATAAAATCATAAATATACACAGAAATATACAGAGGGTGTATATGTCGGTTAAATATATATAAGTTATCCAAATACCGGCGACGCAAAATGCGAGCTCCAAAGCACGGAGGAGACCGACGTTGTGTGACTCCATCGGTGCCAGAATCTTGGTATCAAGTGTAAATCATTGATTCTTCAGAATCAGAGATTGGACAAAACGCTTCCGAAATAATGGTGCGGTAGTAGAAAGGAGTCTTCAAGTAGCATGTTATATATATATATATATATATATATATATATATATATATATATATATATATATATATATATATATATATATATATATATATATATATATATTCTAGAATCCACGTTAGTTTTTCATACGTGGAGGCTTTTGATTGGATACGTGACTAAATGCTATCATCCTATTGGTTAATGGATACACTTAAGACAATATAAATTGTTCAAATAATTTGCAGTAACACCCTTGTGGTTTTACAGATTCCATAAATATAATCCCTAAACTTTAAATGTTTAGATTATCAATCTGTTCTTAATTATTATTAAGAATTTTCAATTTTGTAACCATGATTTTTTTTTTTATAATTTATATGTTTTTTTTTTATAATTTTATATCGCTGTATCTCTGCCGGATCCGTATCTTGAATTTTTGAGTTTTGTCGTTTCCCGTTTCCGTTCCGTACCCGTTTCCTGTTGCCGTATCCGTTTCCGTGCAACTTAGGGAGTTAAAAGGCTTCGATTGTAGTCGACAGTCAAAGACATTTGGCGTGATGCTAAACACAGACTAGGGACGAGAGGGAGTTGTGGCGACCGATTTCTGTTATACTAATTATATATATTTGAAATAAATTTTGTAATAATACCTTATATGAGGTTTATTTTTCCAATTTCTGTCAAACTAGGGACCATGTTGGTAAATTAATATGTAGATACTATTTCTGTTATTTCATCAGACTATTTCTATGATTTTGGTAAACAAGTGTGACCATTTTTGTAATTTTGCAATTGGATATGCATAATTTTTGTCCTTTAATGAAACGTTTGAAAGGTAAACACTAAACTTATGGTTTTGGTGTCGCCATGTTGAACCTGCTAAGTAGAACATTTCTTTTTATATTAAGATAACTGCACATTAAACATGTGTTGAACATTGAATTTGAATCTAAAAGTTGACATAATACATTAGTAATTTACATGCAAGTTTCCCTTTCAATTTCATGTCATATTTCTAAATCATTCATTCTTAGAAAGAAACATTTCTTTAAAAAGAATGTCGAGTTTGCGATAAAAACTACATACATAGTTTATTAAATAATTGAAGAGAATAAATTTTGTGGTCCTAACTGGTCCTAACTGTCAGAAGAAACACAACCCATACAGGGGTTAGAAAAGATATAACAAAACAAGTACCTATTGAATTCAGGTCTCCTCTTCTACATTGAATCTAAACTTCTACAGTCTCAATATGCATAAAATGAAGTTATGAGTTGTTCTTACTTGCCACATCATCAAACAATGTGGAATACCTCCTAAAAAATTAGCATTCCAGTGCACACATTAACCATTCTGATGATGCTTTCTTTCATGTTTGCATCCTGGTGTCCTGATATTCAACAATGTCATAATGGTCAGAATTATTTCACTTGCAACAACGGAAGTGTAGTTGAGATAAACATAAATTCCAGAAATAAACAGTGTCTGAATTTCATATATGATCTACCAGTTAAATTTCAGAAATAAACAACTCGGGTGAGGGTGGAAAGAAACGAATTTTCATGATTTCGTGAAACAAAAAGACAACTTCTATGAATTTTCTATTAGGAAATGATCTTTTTAAACATTGAAAAATAGACGCCATTTTTGTAAATTTGTATAGGCAAGGTCAATTTTTTGTAATTTTATGAAACATAAAGACCATTTCGGCAATAATTTAAGTAGGGACCATTTGCCTAAATTGCCATGTTTCAGGGAAGATTTTCATAAATAGACATGTTTTCAAGGACCATTTACATAAATAGACACGTTTTCTTAAATCTGTCCGGAAATTGTACGGGAAATCAAAACTTATAAGAAGAGATAAAACGGAGATGGAAATTTGGTAGGAAATTCTTAAATAGATTCGATGTGAATTGTGAAGAGACATGAGAAAAAAATTAATGTTTATATGTTATGATGTTTATGAGTTTATATACAAGTTTCACTTTCAATTTCAGAGTCGTATTTCTAAACACTCACTCTTTGAAACATTTCTTTAAAAAGATTTGGAGAATATGCAATAAAAACTACATACATGATTTATGAAACTGCAGAGAATAATTACTGTGGTCCTAAGTGTCAAAAGAAACACAAACCATACAAGGGGTTAGAAAAAATAGAACAAAACAAGTATTGACTTCAGGTCTCCTCTTCTAAATTATATAGTCTCGATATGCATAAAAGGAGGTAATCAATTGCGCTTACTCATCACATCATCAAACAATGAGCAGCAAATCCTCCAACATTTGCATTCCCGTGCACATGTTAACCATGCTGATGATGCTTTCTTTCATGTTAGCATCCCCGTGTCCTACTGATCATGTTCAACAATGTCATAATGCTTGGACTAATTTTGCTTGCAACAATGGACGTGTAGTTGAGATAGACATCGGTTACTGTGACGAAAGTGGCCTGATAAAGGCAATCATTTCCTCATTTCCGAGTGTTGAGAGGCTAGAAATTTCACATAGTAATCTTATAGGGAACATCCTACAACAGATTGACTTGCTGCAAAATCTGACATATATTTCTGTCTCATGGAATTATAACACAGGAGGTACCTTTCCTGTATACATTACCAATCTCACCCGATTAGAACACCTTGACCTTTCAGATAACAATCTCAGCGGAAATGTCCCATCTCAGTTGTGGAGTCTCAAGAATTTGAAGTTTTTGGATCTTAGCTACAATTGGTTGAACGGTCCAATCCTTCAATCTTTTGCTTCCATGGTCAATCTCACCCAATTAAAACACCTTGACCTTTCTCATAACAAATTCATTGGTACCCTCCCGTCTGATCAGTTGTGGAGTCTCAAGAACTTGAAGTTTGTAGATCTTGGCCACAATCAGTTGACCGGTCCAATCCTTCAATCTTTTGCTTCCATGGTCAATCTCACCCGATTAGAATACCTTGCACTTTCAGGTAACAAATTCAGTGGTACCCTCCCCTCTGATCAGTTGTGGAGTCTCAAGAACTTGAAGTTCTTGGATCTTAGCCACAATCAGTTGACCGGTCCAATCCTTCAATCTTTTGATTACATGTTCAATCTCACCCGATTAGAATACCTTGACCTTTCCCGTAACAGTTTAAATGGTACCCTTCCATCTCAATTGTGGAGTCTCAAGAATTTATGGATTCTGGATCTTAGCCACAATTGGTTGACCTATCCAATCCTTCAATCTTTTGCTTCCATGGTCAATCTCACCCGATTAGAATACCTTGCACTTTCAGGTAACAAATTCAGTAGTACCCTCCCGTCTGATCAGTTGTGGAGTCTCAAGAACTTGAAGCTCTTGGATCTTAGCCACAATCAGTTGACCGGTCCAATCCTTCAATCTTTTGCTTCCATGTTCAATCTCACCCGATTAGAATACCTTGACCTTTCCAGTAACAGTTTAAATGGTACCCTTCCATCTCAATTGTGGAGTCTCAAGAATTTAGAGATTCTGGATCTTAACCAAAATCAATTGACCGGTCCAATACTAACATCTTTTCGTTCTAAGGTCGATCTCACCAGATTAGTACACATCAACTTTTCCCGTAACAATTTTAGTGGTACCCTACCATCTCAGTTGGGGAGTCTCAAAAATTTAGAATTTCTGGATCTTAGCAGAAACAGGTTAACCAGTCCAATCCCTCCATCTTTCGGTTCCATGATCAATCTCAAATTCCTAGACTTGAACACAAATCAACTAAGAGGACCAATTCCACAGGAACTTTGTAATCTGCAAAACCTAGAAACATTGAACCTTAGTATGAATAACATCACTGGCTCCATTCCTCCGCATATAGATTATTTGAAGAACATAAAACAACTCGACCTTAATCATAACCATCTTTCTGGTGTGATTCATCTCGAATTCAGAAACTTGCCAAGACTCTCTCACCTTGATTTTTCATCAAACGGTTTGTCCGGGAATGTATCCTTTCAGTATCCGTGCAGATTAGAGTATCTAGACCTCTCTCATAATTTCCTGACTGGTTACAACGGATTAACTAGTTGCTACCATTTAAGGTATCTGGACCTTAGTGATAATATTTTTGTTGGAGAAGCAGTTAACTGTTTTAATTTCTTATCGTTGGAGTACTATAGTCTAAACGTGTCTGGGCTTGATAGGGGATATTGTAAAAAAACTGACTATGGAAGTGTTTATGAAGGCAAGCCCTCCAAAGAACACAAACATATCCTCCTTTTGGAGATTCTTCTTCCGATGATTGTTGGATTTTGCTTCTTAGTGATTGGTTATGTGCTTTACCATCACAAAAAGGCCACCATGGAGAAAAGTCAACCAAAACTACAAAAACATGGAGACGTGTGCTCGGTATTGAATTACGATGGGACTCTTGCATTCGAAGACTTCATCAAGGCAACAGAAGACTTCGACCTCAAATATTGCATTGGAACCGGTGGTTATGGAAGTGTTTATGAAGCGAAACTGCCTAACGGTAAAACATTTGCTTTGAAGAAACTCCATCGGTTTGAAGCCAAGCAACCAGCATTTGACAAAAGTTTCAAGAACGAGATTGAAGTCCTAACCAACCTAAGGCACAAAAACATTGTGAAACTCTATGGCTTTTGTTTGCATAACCAATGCAACTTCCTTGTATATGAATACATGGAAAAAGGAAGCTTATTTTGTGCATTGAGTGACAACGAATTCGCTGTCATGTTGGATTGGAAGACAAGGGTAAACATTATCAAACAGGTAGCACATGCTTTGTCGTACATGCATCATGACTGCAGCCCACCCATCATTCATCGAGACATATCAAGCAACAACATTCTCTTGAACAAAGAAATGGAAGGATTTGTTGCCGACTTTGGAGCAGCCAAATTGCTCGACCCTGATTCATCCAACCAAACCGTTGTTGTAGGAACTTTGGGATACATTGCTCCAGGTATGTATGTGTAGATTCTAATGATTCCTTTACCTCTGTTAGTAGGTGAAACTATACTAACAAGCTTTTTGTATAAACATGTAGAACTTGCATATAACATCATTGTGAACGAAAAATGTGATGTGTATAGCTTTGGAGTGCTTGCACTTGAAATAATTGGAGGGAAGCATCCTGGAGACTTCCTAACGTCTCTCAACTGTTCTAACCGAGAAGGTGCAACTTTGGAAAACATATTTGACAAGAGACTCCCTTATCCAACTGATGACAGACGGATTAAAATGGAAATTCTCCGTGTTTATGATGTTGCACTAGCATGCATTCGCGTGGACCCGAAGTCTCGTCCGACAATGGGAAACGTCTCTCAGGAATTATCCAAGTGATGAGTCACCATATGTACTTAATGACCATATCTTTGTTTCGGTACCTCCCGATTAAAACTTCTTTCAAGTTTGTTTTTATGTGAAACCTGTTTATGTGGTCTTATTGTTTTTTTGTTCAAAATGATGTGCATTCTTGTACAATTGATATGAGATACAAAACTTGGTGTAGAGCTAAAGAACACCGGACTTCCTCTATAGCATCCTTAACATATGAACCAAATGTTAAATCTTCAACATTCCTATACCCAGGGAGTTGCATACAGAATTATTGGCTAGAATTATGTTATAACCATCTACAAATTAATGTTGTAAAGTACGACATATTGGATATCGTATGAATGAGGGTCACAAATGACAAATCTATCACTCTTTGGTGTTGATCGTCCGCTTTCCAAATGGTAGTTCAAAGTGTATCCTTTTTTTCTTATTAATAGCAATTGTGACATTGTAATGTATTGTATTTACCTAAATGCCAAATGAGAAATATCATAATTTTACAATCTGATGATGAAACATAGGCCCATCATAACAGGTATTCATTACAAAGACAATATAGAAAATAGCAACCGGTAAAATGATACATAGAGCATAACCATATCTTAGATTACTTACTAGATGGTGATTGCAATAATCATTATGTGAACTTGATGTCTAAGATGAGCCAATTCACACTCTAAAGTAAAACGGAGAACCTTTTAATGGCCCAAGATCCTTTATATTCAGTGTAATAACTTTGAGATGATAATGGCAAAATGATACATTATTCGATACATACATTGAAGAACTTTTCAAGAAAGAGTGATTATGCCAACCAGGGATACTCTGTAATGCGAGATGATAATGGCAAAATGATACATTATTAGGAAATAAACAATTTTAAGACAATAACATCAGATTATTGAAAAAAAGACTGTAACCCGATCTATATCAGAAGGAATTACAAAGAAGTAGTCACAGAACAAGAGTAATCACATACTTTGTTTTTTCAAGATTCAAGCAAGTTGCATCATCTACTAGTTAGTACATACCACCGGTCAACCTAATTGATAGCTAAAAAAATTGAAATTCAAATTGCTTGGTCCTCATTTGAAAGGCCTCCTGTTAAGTAATATTAAAGAACGAAAGCAATCCAATTAAGTAAAGAAATTAGAAGATTCGAAAAGGATAATAGCTTACTGCTGGAAAAGGTGGAGGATTCAATTTCTCACAGAGGATAATAGAAAAAAAATTAGATGATTCGAAGAAATCAGAAGATTCGAAGAGGATAATAGCTTACTAAGAAATTAGAAGATTCTAAGAGGATAATAGCTTACTGCTTTATATGGAGGATTCAATTTCTCAAAGAGGGTGTTTTGGTGGTAGTCGAAGGTTGTGCTCTTGTGTTCTTAGATACCAAACAGGAGAAGCAAAGAGAAAGGAACTAGGATTGAGTAATTTTCCTTAATTTGTTCGACATCTTTATTTCTAAAATTTCTACTTGATTAAAATTTCTACAAAAGTAACAATTTCACCCCACTTTCTTTCTTTGGTTTGCTTAGCTTTTGTTTAGGTATGTGATGAAAATCTCTACAGATTTGGTTGGGGAGTTTTCTAGCGAGGGAAGAAGAGAAGCACGGGCGGCAAATAGATAGAGATGAGAGATTATGGAAAGAGATAGAAAGAGTGGTGTAAAGAGGGTGGGTGAGATGTCGTTCAAAAACGAGTGGTGGCATCAAAAAATCATCGTCTTCGGTGGTTGCTCCGACAGCAATGAACGGGATAATTTTGTGAAACAGCAGGACAAAATCTGGAAGATTTTTATTAGAAAAGGATCATTTTTGTAACTTTGAAAAATAGAGACCATTTTTGTAAATTTGGCATAGTCAGGGTCCATTGTTGCAATTTTATGAAACATAATGACAATTTCTGTAATATTTTAGGTAGGGATCATTTACATAAATAGGTAGACCATTTGCATAAATAGGTATGTTTTTAGCGACCATTCATATAAATATGCATGTTTTCCTAAATCTGTCCTGAAATTGTATATATTTGTAAGAAGAGATATAAGGGAGATGGAAATTTGAGAGGAAATTCTTAAATGGATTCGATTTGAAGAGACATGTAAAATGTTAATGTTTATATGTTAATGATTTTTAAGTATGTTTATATGTCATGATTATTTATGTATGTTTATATACTAGTTTCCCTTTCAATTTCACCATCGTATTTCTAAATCACTCATTCTTAGAAATAGTTCTTCAATAAGAATGGCGAGTTTGCAATAAAAACTACATGTATAATTTAAGAAATAATTGAAAAGAATAACTAGTGGTCCTAACTGTAACAAGAACCACAACCCATACGAGGGGTTAGAAAAAATATAACAAAACAAGCACCTATTGACTTCGGGTCTCCTCTTCTACATTGACTCTAGAATTCTATGGTCTCAATATGCATAAAATGAAGTTATTAGTTGTCTTTACTAGTCACACCATCAGACAATGTGGAACACCTCCTCCATAATTAGCATTCCCGTTTACACGTTAACCATGCTGATGAGGCTTTCTTTCATGTTAGCATCCCGGTGACCTACTGATATTCAAGGATTATATTATTGTTATTGTGGTTGGAATCAATTCAGTTGCAACAATGCAAGTGTAGTTGAAATAAACATGTTTGGTCGTGATGAAAGCGTACTGAAAAAACTTTTCTTTTCATCATTTCCGAGCGTTGAGAGGTTAGATATTTCAAAAAGTATCCTTTACCAATCTCACCCGATTAGAATATGTGTGTGAGAGACACTTCGATGCCCCACAATGGAGGATCCAATAGTTAAATAGAAAAGAAAATTACACAAAGACTACCTCAAGAATGAGTAAAATACAACATAAATAAATACAAAGATTTATTCTAGCTATTATCCCCCCGCAAGCGAAACGGTGGCGGACCAAGACGTAACATGGCACGAAAGAACTCAAATTGAGGACGAGGAAGACTCTTGGTGAAAATATCCGCAACCTACTGGAGCGAGAAACCGATGGCTGCTTTTTAGCACTCCAAGAAATAAGATTACCACCAAGAAAGATGGAGTAGCCATGGGTGGACCTACGAGTCTCAAGACAGCGAGCCCAATCAACATCCGAGTAACCCAAGATGGAGGTATGATGTGGCTTCGAAAAGGAAAGATCAAAATCCAAAGTGCCTTTAACATATCGAAGAATACGTTTGACATGCTGATAGTGAATGTGGGTAGGAGTCTGGAGAAACTGACTCACTTGGTTAACAGCATAGGAGATATTTGGTCGGGTAATGGTCAAGTACTGAAGAGCCCCCTCAAGAGATCGATAGTGAGTCAGATCCTTGTAAGGAACACCATTACTGCTGAATACTTCATTAGCAACCAACAGAGTGTGGACAGGCTTAGCTTCCAAAAGATCAGCACGATGAAGAATGTCATGGGCATACTTAGACTGACTAAGAAATAGACCATCAGAAGATCGAGTAACCTCAAGGCCAAGAAAATAGTTAAGATATCCAAGGTCTTTAATAGCAAACTCCTGATCAAGTTGAGAGATAAAGGAAGTAAGAACGTTGTCCTGATTCCATGTCAAGATGAGACCATCAACATATACCAGGAGATACATAATGCACGAATCACGAGAGAAAAAAAACAAGGATTGGTCAGAGTGACTGCATGTGAATCCATTACGAAGGAGAAAGCTGCTCAGGCACTAAAACCAAGCCCTTGGGGCTTGTTTTAGACCGTAGATTGCTTTATTGAGGTGACATACATGATTGGGAAAACAAGAATCAGCAAACCCGGGGGGTTGTTCCATGTAGACAAGTTCATTTAAATTCCCATGAAGAAAGGCATTATTGACGTCAAGTTGGTGAAGATTCTAATTATGGATGACAACCAATGATAGAACAACCCGAATAGTTGTTGCTTTGACAACTGGACTGAACATATAGGAGTAGTCAAGCCCGGGAATTTGACTAAACCCTTGAGCTACAAGACGAGCCTTGTAGCACTCAATGGACCCATCAAAACGGTACTTGGTACGAAAAAGCCATTTGGAACCAACCACATTATGTGAAGTCGGACGAGGAACCAACATCCATGTGCGATTATTAGAAAGAGCAGCCACTTCTTTTTGCGTAGCATCCGTCCAATGTGAGCTTTTAATGGCAGACTTGAATCCTTTTGGATCACAGGAAGCAAACAATGCAGAAAATAAGGGGTTGTTAAGTGTTTGAGCCAGATCTGCCCGATGTTTAGGTTTAAAAATACCAGATTTAGCACGAGTCGTCATTGGATGTGTTGACATTCGTACGGATGGTTGGTTAACTTGGGTTGTAGGCTCTACAATCCTAATTGAAGGCTCACCTGCAATGCAAGTAGACGGGCTAGTAGTGGCAGCCGGGGAAGGAGGACCAGACGACGGAGATGAGAGCCCATCCGGTTGGGGTGAAATAATATTGGGAGGAGAGGGGCCATCTCCAAAATTATCAAATGAACAAATATCACAAGGAGCTGGCGGAGTTGTTGAGGTAGGGGAAGGATCTTTCGGTGGAGACGAGATCATAAATGGTGCATCATGAAAGGAATGCAGCGGTAATAAAGAGGCATCTGAGTTTTTATTTTCACTTGAAAATGGAAAAGAGCTTTCATTGAACCGAGCATGACGGGTGATGTAGACATGAGATGTGATGGGATCAAGGCAATAGTATCCCTTATGTTGAGATGAGTACCCCATAAAAATGCAAGGGAGACTCCTGGGGGCTAATTTGTGTGGCGCATAATCACGAAGATATGGGTAAACCCGGCAAGCAAATGCCCGGAAGTTTCTATACGACGGTTGGCGAGAAAAGAGAACCTCAAATGGGGACTTGCCATTTAAAATAGGCGTCGGAAGTCGATTAATAATATACATTGCTGAGGAAAAGGCATCAACCCAATATATCGTAGGAACATGTCCATTAAATAGCATAGCCAACCTTGTTTCAACCACATGTCGATGTTTTCGTTCAACACGGCCATTTTGTTAGGGAGTATACAGGCACGAGAGCCTGTGAAATGTGCCA